GGGGGGGGGAGACACTTGAACTGGCCCTGGAGGGATGAGTAGGATTTGGAGGGGAAGGAAGAGCAGGGGGATGAGAGGAATATGACCCAGGGCCAGCAAGGAACAACCAGGAGGCCCACCTAAAAGTGGCTGCACGCTCTCTGTAGAGAAGTATGTAAAACTGCAGGGAGAAGGTGGAACGGGCACTGTGAGGGCTTTTCTGAGTCCAACAAGGGTCTGACTTTATCCTGGGAAAGTGAGAAGCTAAGTGAAGGCCTCTGAGTACAGCAGTGAAAAGATCAAGAGTGTTTTAGGAGATCTGGACTGAAGGGGATATTGGAGAGGATCTGGAAAGGGGTCCAGCCCCTGCAAGTGAGGAGAGCAGCACACAGAATGGGGGTGGGGAGAGGAGGGCAGGAGATGGAGGCAGCAAAAAAGATGAACAGGAAAGGCAGTACAGAAAGCCTGGAACAGAATCAAGAGGACTTGGTAACTGATGAGACATAAATAGAACAAGAGGGATTAGATCAGAGGATTAAAACTTTGATAAAAATAAACAGCACTGCCCTGGCCGGGTGGCTCAGTTGGTTGGTGTGTCGTCCTGTACACCGAAAGATTTTGAGTTCAATTTCAGGTTGGGCACATATGGGAGGCAACAATTGATATCCCTCTCTCACATCAATGTTTCTCTCCCCCACTCCTCCTCTCTTTCTAAAGTCAATAAATATATCCTCCGGTGAGGATTAAAAAATAATAAACAGCACCTTCAAAGGGGATAAATTTTTATTACTCACTTAAATCATCACTTCACAGATCTATAAAGAATTATTCATAAAAACATGAAGCATTTTCATCCTTTTAATAACTGAAGATCATAGATACACAAAAAGGAAGTTTTTTTAAAAAATATATCTTTATTGATTTCAGAGAGAGGAAGGGAGAGGGGAAGAGAAAGACAGAAACATCAATGATGAGAGAGTCATTGACCACCGGCTGCCTCCTGCACACCCCTGACTGGGGATCGAGTCCACAACCAGGACATGTGCCATGACCGGGAACTGAACCGGGATCTCCTTGATCCTAGGTTGATGCTCAACCCCTGAGCCATGCCTGGCCAGGAAAGGAAGTTTTCTTAATGATTAAAAAAAAAGATTCAGTTGCAGGCACAATGAAATGGTTTTAAATAGAACTTAACTAGAGAAAAAATAAAATAACCTAATCCAGACTGCATGTTTTCTCTCTGTGGACCTGCAGACTGTGCTTTCACCCTGAGGCCTGTAACGTGCTATTCATGGGGATATAAGACCCACCCTCCAGCTGGGCGACTCTGTAATGGGATGTTTCCAATTCCCCCAGGTCTACTGGAAAGAGATGGAAGGGTCCCGACGGTCAGAGAGGGCCTGCCAGCCTCAAGGAAGGGAAACCTGAACAAGTCACCAGGGGCTTAGGGAGGCACGTATCACACATGCATTCTGTCTTCACAGATGTCTAGATGACTAACTTCCTGAACTAAGTGACACTATAACCTCTAGATTGTGCATGTACTCCCAACTTTTAGATTTTCAAGTAAATCACTAAATTAAGCATCAAACACTGGGCTGATTTAGCATCAAAAAAGCTAAGGCCAGACCTTAGCTACAAAAAAATTTTGAAAAGAAACTTCCTCCTTCAGGAGGATTTCATCTAATAGGACATTTCTTTCTGCCACTATCTGCTAGCTGAATGGTGAGTAGAGGGAGTGGAGTCACTCACTCTACTGAAGACACAATTATTGGTCCTTTGTCTTCCATTTTAATTAGATGAACATTAAATAAAGCCACTTAAGACCTGGACATTTTAATGAACTCTGAAACAGTTCATTCTTACTTGTTCCACCTTATGACCAATGAGATATTGTTGAGAACGGTGCCTGGATCAGGAGAGAAGACTATGGCTGTGAGCTGTTTTCCTTAGGAAGGCCCATGCAGGGATCAATACCCATGAACCAGGCATTGCTCTACCACAATGATTAATAAATTACAGTGACAAAAAGAAGAATTAAAAAGTAAAACAAAATCGCCCCTGGACCCCTGCCTTACTGGTTTTATTTCACTGGGCTCACGTATGATTTCTGCTACTTTAAACAGGACAAGGCTTCCTTGGAGACTCAGGAAAGAACCACAGAAATGTCGAATAACTAAGAATAAGTACACAAATACAGACATGAGAGGCTCTGCAGCTTAAGAAAAATGACAATTTTCAAATACTATACACCATCCAATTGCAACGCACCCAGACTATAGGTTTTGCTAGTGCTGAGCTCAAGAATGTGGGGCCTCACACACATAGCAGAGAAATTACTATTCCTGGGAGCCTGTCCTGAATTCTGTATGTCAAGGAAAAGATTTCACCTGACATGGATCCAAGGCAAAGATAGTAAAGACAACCAGAAATCCTGAGGCAGGTCTGTGACTCTCCTCTAACCAAGTATATGGGATCTTAAAGAATGTGTTTTCAGGCAGCTTCATCTTCTATCTCCTGCCATCATCATTCCTTCCCTCCCAATTTCTTCCTTGCTTATTTAGGTCACCTCAACTATTTTGGGGAAACAGTAAAAGTGTATATATGCCTATGTGCATGTTGCTTGTATGAACTGATGCAGAAAAAACTGTGGCAACTGAGAAGACAGGTTGGTCCAGGTTGGTCTGAGTTGTGTCCCAACAAGAACTGTAGAAGCAAATGGCAGTCGATGAAGTCTTGCCTTCAGCTTCATGTCGCCCTTTCTCTGTCCTGTGCTCTCATTTTTCCAAAGCCCCTGCCATGCTCTGCCACAGGCCTGCCTTCCCTAAACATTCTTCCATGCTCTAGAACACACTGCAAATTCTAGCCTGTTGACACCTATTTTGTATCTGAATCAACTGTCACATACAAACCCAGATTTCCAACTTCTCTTGAATAAACTGAAAACGAGCCCCACCCTCACATGGCAATAGCTGGGGGAGCTGAGAGACAGTGCCTGCTTTGGTCACAGCAATGTATGCTCTTCAACTGGCCAGTCACCACCTAACCTGTTTAACTTTTATGCCTTCTCTTTCCTGTATAACTCTGTTCCAGCTCTTTAACAGTGTCTATACTGTTAAAACTTACCTGCCCTATGTCCCAAACCAAACCAGGGGGGCTGGATCTCTGTTCACTGACTAGTTTAGCTAATCCATTAAACTAGTTCATGTTAAGCTGTTTAGTGGGTAGGAAAAGGTTAACTCCTTGGCTTTAGCCCTTGGAAGAGGAAGAAAGTTGCTAAGGAGTAAGAATGAAACAATGAACTGCTTCCTAATGGCTCCTCTCCCAACTGGCAGAGGCTGAGGACATACCCTATAGATCTCTTCAAGCAGCAGCTTGGCACAGTTCCTGCCCAGGTCCTCTGGAAGCACCGCTGCTCCCTGGCCCTGGGGGTTGGAAGCCAGTTCAGCACTGAGGAAGGTGCCATTGGTGGTCTCGGCAACCAGCGACAAACCGAAGCCTGGAGACCTGGGGATGCAAAGGCATAGACACTGAGTAGGGTTAATGAAGTGGGGGTCAGTCACTAGCAAAAGGAAAGAGAAAACAAATATCTTTCTGATGGCATTCTGTGTTGTCACATCCAGCCTTACTGGAGTTCCCACTAGCTTACACTGGAAATACACGTGACTTCGGGAGGGCGCACTCAGCAGAACTAAGGAAGGTGCAAGTTTGCATTGCTTTTCCTATTAGCCCTCTCGTGCCTGCCTGCCTTCTCCCACCCCTCCCACACTGTGAAAGATCCTGCGGTGAGAGTTTATAATAACATTAACAAGGGTTACTAGATATTGAGCGCCTACTTTCTGCCAGCTTCTGAGCTAGGGGCTTTGACACTACAATTCTACAGAGTAGATATTATGTGCCCATTTTACAAATGAGGAAATTAAGCAACCTGCACCATGTCCACACAGTTAGAAAGGGACTGAGATGTGTTTCAAATGCAGGTCTCCCAGACTCCAAAGCCTATGCAGGTTTGCACCACAGCCCTCACTTACAACCAACCCAAAAGGCGTGAGTGGCCCGGAGATCACCTCATTACAGCTCCTCTTGGAATATATCAAGTGTTTCCCCCAAAAATGAAAAGTAAGAAAGAGCCTAGACAAGGCTCAGCCCTGTTTTTGTCCTCAAGGGACATCTCTAACTCAGAATTCAATTAATATAATCTAAGAGCTGGCACATGTTCTCTCCCACTGTGTTTCTACCACCCAAAAGCCAGAACCTAACACCCTTCAGGTCCAGGACCACAGCTGATTCATTCAATCACTTGGGAATCCAACAAACATTTGGGAGAGAGCTCCCATGGGCCAGGCACTGGGGGCGCTGTGGTAAACACAGGAGTTCCTGCCCTCACAGACTTTAGGGATAACCAGTTTCACACAAAACAAAATCAGCCCATAAACAATAAAATACAAGCACCTCTCCACAAAATTTGCAGATCTGACCCCTCAAGTTTACTTTGCCCCTTGCCTTTTCAGTAAACCTGTCACCAGGAGAGGAACAGCAGCTATAGTACACACACAACACAATACAGACCTGCCTCCTCTGACACAGTTCAACACATGTTCATGAAGCACTTTCTATGCGCTCACCACAAAACTAGCCAAGATATTTATTTCAGAAAAACTATGTGTAAAATTAATGATGTTTCAAATGCACTATTATGAGCCCACTATAGGCAGGAACTATCATGGTCAGTTGTTAATTTCTTTTTTTAAAAAAATCAACAATCTATGCAGCCCAGGGTTAATGACACCTGCCAAGGGAAGGGGTGCAGTGAGTCACCTATGTAATCAAAGGTTCCGGGGTACTCTCTGTAATACTTAACAATCTAACACCATGCTACCCATCCATCATGATGGGACTTTTAACACAGTCTCAAGATGCTTTGGAGCTGCTTGACCAGGAGGAAGGAGGGGACATCCAGCTCTGCAAGAGAGGCAGTGTTATGTAAAATTAAAGAGTAGGAATGAAAGGAGGGAAAACCAGAAGATAAGCTACCATCACTGCTTTAACCTATTTACCTGAATTTCCCAAGAACTTCCAAATTTCCTATCCACGTGAATTTTGTGAGGTATGTGTACTTGTTATTACAATAAGCTTTATAGTTGATCAAGATCGTTCCATTTAATATTATTTTTGTTTTATAGAAAACAAGATAACACATCAAGTTTTATGTATACTATGCCAAACTCTTCTCTTCCCCTCCCTCCCCAATTTGGGGTGTGTTCTATCAGTCCTGTTTCAAGTTAGGCAGCTGGTCACCAGTGACCTCACTGAAGATGCACATTGGTACAGTTTACAAGTGATAGCCTCCCAAACTTTCCAACTGGTAAAGGACTAGTTTGTGTGTTTTTTTTAAGTCATGACTGTGAGAGTCAAAATGGTACCACACTGGACAGATGCACATGTTGGTCAAAGGCCAACTGACACAGGCCACCAAGAACTGCTGGCCCCCAAGGTTCTAGGCCCTGGTCACAACGTAAACTCTCACCCCTGGATTTCAGTTGGCCTAACTGACATGCATACTTCACCAACTCAGAAGAGGAAAGTACCCACCCAAGACTTTATAATTTCATAAAAGAGAAGGAAGATCACCATGTTATCTGTAACTAAGATTTAGAAAACTAAACACAAACTTATCATGCACTGATTTTAATTTTTTAAGGGGAGCTTGGAATTGATCCACGAGTCTACATACACCCACATCCTGACCCATGTGTGAGCTTCCTACAGTGTGACCACACACTGGGGGGAGCTGAGTCAGTCATTATAAAAAGCCACACTATAGCTGGTGGCAGTATGGCCTTCAAGCCTGCTCTGCTTCATCCCTGGCCACCCTTTGGTGGAGACTGAGGCCAGACAGAAAAGGCCACTCAGGCAGCTGCTGCTGCCACTTATCTTACCCCATCCCTGTAATCCCCTCTCCCCAAAGAACTGCTGACACAATTCTAAACCTGTGGCTAAGAAGGGAAAAGAAAAGAAAGCACAGCCTTAGCAGCTACCATTTCTGTAGCACCTACTATGTGCCAGGCGTTGCCCTAGTGGCTTACATATGAGATCTTTCCATCTTTACAGCTACCCAGGGATGCAGGCGTTACCTCTCCCATGGTATGAAAGAGGAAAACACTGGTGATACTTGAGCAATGCACACGGGTTTGGGACCATTACTGACCTTTTCAACCCCAAGAAGAAAGGGCCAGCTTTGCACACAAATCCTTTCCCAACTCTAACCTCTGACACCACCACTTCTGTTGTTTTGGACTATGATCCACTATGGTGTTTCTGAAATCACCTTCATCTTTCCCTTGGGCCTCATAAAGGTCAGAGATCCCATAACACACTCACTCTCCCTTACTCTTTTTCCTTCTTTTGCTGAAACTAAAAGGAACCTAAGATGAAACATCATGAAAAGGGTTCACTGTATCACCACTTAGGAAAAAACTAACTTCTTAACCCACCACTGTCAATCTCAGACCCTGATATTCTTATTTTTAGGAGACGCAACCTGAAAACTTCAGATTCAGAGTACAATGATGCAATCATTCACACCAAAAGGTTTCAACAAAAACAAACAAAGCCACACAGGTAGAGCAAATTTGGCAAAGTATTCATTGTTAACTACAGGTAGCAGCAATATAGAGGTGTTCACTATACTATCCTTTCAACTTTTATTTTTCCAATTACAAGTTTACATTTGATATTACTTTGTATTAGTTTCAGGTCAACTTTTATGTTTAATATTTTCAGAGTAAAAAAAGAGGTTTTAATTGCTTCCCTAACTTACTGGTTTCTAAATATACAACGAAAGCCTAAAACATAGATCATTAACTTTTTACTTTCTAAAGTGAGGTTTTCTGCAAAGGCTTTCACTAAACCAAATTCACATCTGCAATAACAACTTTCTTTGGCTCTAGGGGTGTTGTTCCCCTTGATGGGGAGAAAATCCGACTGGCACTTTGGCCAACAAAGGATTTTTTCCCTAAACTGCTATTTGCTCAGGGTGGAAGAAGTTGTTTAACTTTTTGTGGGAACAGAGGGCAGATGGGATTTAAAGCTTAAAGTACTGTCTATAAATAGCTAGGGTTTTTTCCCCCCAAGTCAGGGACTGGACCCCTCATCTCCCAGCACTGGCCACTGTGATGCTTTCCACGTGACAGGAGTTATTGGTGACAAAGGGCAATAAGTCAGAAGGAAATTAAATCTGAAATTGTTTTTCCTCTGGCTGCCCAACCTCAGAGCTGACAGCTTTAACTTCAAACGGAATAGGAGTATGAAAAAGGCTAGGGTAGCTGCAGAATTAAGCTTCAAAAATGGAGACACATACTTCCCAGAGTTGATTCCTTTCATGTGGTCGGTGTAAATGTAGATGTCGGGTATAAACTTGTTGAGAATGCTCCTTGCAGAATCCACAACCCGGTTGGCCATCTGAGGTGACACACGGACGGAGTACCTATGACCTAGAGTTAAGGGTGCCTTTCTATTTGGACTTCAGAGCAAAGAAACATCAAAACCTAGCAAATATTTGTGAAACTGTAGTAAGAAACTGGGATTTCTAATTGCATTTAATTTCCTAAAAGTATTCCACTTCTTAACTATACAATCATCAATTTTTATATTATTTTTATTTATTATATAATTTTTATATTACAGTTATAAAAGGTTTAAATGCTCATGGTGGGAAAAACAACAACAACAATACAAAGAGTTGGAAAGTAAAACCTCTCAACCCTGATCTAGACTTCCTACCCATACCCCACCCTTAGAAATGATTCAATTCAATTCTGGAACAAATGAAGGCAACTGCCTCGTATGGCATGAGCCAAGGTCCCTTTGAAGCACTCTCTGATTATCCCCACTGCTGTCACCAATGAGTCTCTCTTAGAACCCAAGACCAGAACAGACACCACACTAGGGCAGACCAATCTACCTCCTGGTCTGCGGACAGGAAAACAGAAAAAAAAATAGAGAAAGAGCATGGTGGCTGCTGCATGTAAAGGTCTAAATGGGTTTTTGGGTGTGTTTTTTAAATTTACAGAACCTATTTTCAATTATTTAAGTATCGATCACTCCATTTGTGGATGATTCAGGCTCCTCACGACTGCCACTGCATAGTCCAAATACTGGTAATTAACACTTTTAAAACAGGACACCCCAGAAAGGAGAGAAGGAAGATATTAGCAACTCAAGTAAAAAGGCTGGTGCTTGAGGAAGTGGAAAACAGACTAGTGCTCGCAAGCCCACGAATCAAATGAAAAATAAGCATGTACTGAGCACTTTCAATGTGCAATGCGCAGACATAAGCCAGCTGCACATGCGGGACAAGGGGCTAAAAGAACAGAGAAGTAAATAACACACCATCTTCCCACTCCCCTTATACAAACCTCACAGGGCAAGTCCAACAGGGAAAACAAGGTGTGTGGTCTGCCCATTTCAGCTCAACTCTTCAAAAACTACTATCAATAACACATTTAATTTTTCTTTGTGCTGCAGAAAGATATGCTGAGTCTGTACAAAAACCTGACTAGCCTCTAGCTTCCCTTTTTGATCTATCCTGAACATTCCACTCAAAGATCAATCTTCCTCACACTATTGAGAATCTCCCAGTAATTCTGGACCCTCCCAGGTTCTGCTGTCAGACCCTCTGGCCAGCAACCTCACCCCCTCCACCCATCCAAATTCTCCAAATTCTTCATCCTGAACTGCCCTTCCTTCATTCAGTCCAGAGTTCTCTCTTTCTTCTGAAACCTTCCAGCCAGCACCCAACTGTGGTCTGCACTTAAACTTACCACACATCTCCCTTCATATAGGCACATGTTCTTGCTCATCAACGAGACTGCACAAACCATAAGGAAAGCGGCTATGCTGTTGTATCCCTCACAACTCTCTAGTACACTACTTTTGTACTCAGAAATATTCGATAAATATTTGACTTGACTCAAAGGACAAACCTGAAATGAGGAAAGAGCAAAGAGGGATTTTTCAATACACACACAGAACCCAGTTACATCACCACCTCTTCTGCCCAGAACGTACTTTTGAACACAGGCAGCTCAGACAAACAGTCCCAGGTCTCATACCCTTTGGACCAGGTGGGTGCTGTCCTTCTGCGGCCTGAGGCTGCTCGCTCTCTCTAGGAGAGCACAGATGTCATTATCCTGACACATAATCCCACAGGGTTCGTGGTTCCCAAGATTCTAGGTACATTATCAACTTACTTTATGTTCATGATAACCCATTGGCAAGGGCTATGGATCCCCAGTTCTAGGGCTTACAATGAGGACAAATGGGTCACAGAACCAAGATTCAAAATTAAACAGATCCACTTCCCAAAGACGACCTCTTCCCCCGCCCCTCCAGAGATGTGGAAACCAGTGAAATGACAGTGCCAGTTCAGGGCCAGTGGAAATCTATGCTAGGATTAAGGCAGTACAATGAAGGGAAAGGAGCTTTAAACTGGCCACATCCCAGTCACTATGGAGCCACCTGGCTTGGCACGGAGACCCTACACCAAGGAACAGATAAGGTTCTAGAAACAGACTGCGCTAGAGTCCGAGCTCCAGCAAACCGCATCATACAAACAATGTGTTATTCTCTGTGCCTTTACTTCCTCATCAGTAGGAGAAGAGTAATCATAATGCTCTTCCCACAGGGTTTGGAGGCTCAAATGAAATAATGCGTGTAAAGCAATGAGTGGTGCCTGGTAAATGGTCGGAACCCAATATATGTCAACTACTGCTTTTCTCACCATTTCCTAGTCCAAGATTCAAATCTCAAAGAAGTTCTTATCCTTTCAGGAACCAGAGAGTCCTCTAAGAACCTGATGAAAGGTATGACACTCTCAAGAAACACATGAACACACACTATGACAGATAATTGGGGTTTATCAATGTCCTAACTCATTCATGAATATCATATTAAAAACTCACATCCAAGAGAGATAAGTTCATAGCTATAGTCCATATGAACTCCCACCCTTCACCCTCCCCAGGATTGCAGGTCAGGAGTGTGTGTGTGTGTGTGTGTGTGTGCACAGGTGGAGAGAGAGAAAGATTGATTGATTCTCTAGGTACCTTCCCTATAGTCAGAGAAAGAAAACCAGATTGTCCCACAAATTCCAACTCACACCCAACTCTTGCGTCTATGCCAGTTTATTCCTTTAACTCTTATGTACCAGATCATGAGCTACCAGACCACCACTATAAAACTGAATCACAATGCTCCCTTCTCTCTTGTCCCACATCAGGCGGGGGGAAGAGAGTGGATGGCATTAAATAAACTGTAACCACACCCACTGTCTAGTCACAGCTGCTGGCAGGAACCAACACCAGCTCCCTCCCAGGCCCTGGCCGGTCAATCAGAAAGGGAAAAGATGAACTTTGGGTGGTAGCTCATTAAAACCACAAATGCACAGATGAGATGGGACTAGTTCTCCCAACTTGAGCCCTCCTGTGGGGAACATAACCTTCAAGCTCAGCTCAACATCCAACCAGCCTTGTAAGCAAAAACCCCAAACCCAGCTAAAAGTTTTTCCAAAGGCAGCCCTTTTCTTCCCAGGCTCCAATACTGGCCAAGAAGGTGATCTCAATTCAAACCCACATTCCTCGGAGGTGTCTGAAATGGGCTGCTCTGCAGACCAGCAGCTGGAATGTTTGGTTTGCAGGCAGGGATCTAAGCAAGGGTGCTGCTTCTGACTTTCCCAGGGAGTTAAGAGGAAGACTGAGGAGGACTCAGGGGTCACAGCCCCTGCCTCAAGCAAGGGGAGGGGTTTGGGCCCTCACCAGTTTCTCTCTGGCTCAGATTCTGTAGAGAGAAGTCAGGGAGGAACAAAGTCAACCCCAGGTGCCTGGGGCGCCACAGCTTTCAGCTTTCATGTTCTCTGCACAACCCAGGATGCTCACCCCTTTCCCAGGACATCAAAGGCCTACTCATGAGGCTTTCGCACACCCAGTAGAGAGAATACCAGGCAGGACCCAAGTGTGAGCCTCCATGAAACCCCTGTTGTTACCACAAGACTGTGTCAAAACACACAGCACACTCTGGAAATCACATTTCCAGACTAGAGAATGGATTCCAAGCAGAGTTCACTGCCACAGTAGGAGACAAATATCAGAAAAAAACTGAAATAGACCTGAAGTGTATAGAATTTCATTAACTGCAGCATTTTTTGGCAACAGTGAAGTCAATTTAACTATCCATCCTCCTGGGGGCTCCCAGGACAGGAACTATTTCTCCCCAACCTGCCCACTTTCTCCTCACACATACAAGAGTGTGGGCCCCAGGTGGACCCGAGAGAGCCATGCAGACAACAGACTATAATCCAGAGAAGCTTTGCTATAAATTCCTCTGTTCTTGATGATCCTTACAAAGAACCCCGGGGAGCACCAAGTTTGATCTTTCATCTCAACAACGGATGGATACGCAGCCTGCCCTATTCCATGTGCCTCACCACTTACTGCTCAAGCTAATCAAGACCTCTGAAAAGTTAGTCCACTACACACCTCTTTTCCTCCAAGTAAGCCCACCCTAAAGCCTCCTGAGAAATACAAAACTTCGACTCTTAAGCACCCACTCCATCCCTGAGAAGGAGACATCCTGGTCGACCCCACTCTGTCAAACTCCTTACAGAAAAGTCATCTGCTAACCCCATCCAGCCCCCCTGGCCTACACCCGCCCTTACCCAGATCTCATCCGCACCTAGAAATGTACCATCGCTTCAATGACAGGCTCACAAACGCCCATTATAACCCACCCTTCTGCACTACTCACTCACCCTGTAATCCACACCTGTCCCCGATGAAACTGGCCCCGTTTTCTCTGCTTCTCCCCTAGACCGCCAACGGCTTTGGGATGCAGCCGCCATGCAGCCACGCAGCTGGCACCATGACACGATTCCAGCTTCGGCTAAGCCCGCTCTGCTGTCCTGCAGCCTTTTTCTTATCTCTAGTCACCAAGCGCCACTGTGACAGTACATCTTTACCACCCTGTCACACTCCCTTATCATAGCCCTGCCAATTCCCTTATCCTTGATCCCATCCTAACTCACTGAAAACTCCTCCCAACTTCCTTCCACTCACCTCCAGACAAATCAATCTAGAGCCATCCTTACCACATGCCTGCGATTCTCAATTCATCCTTTCTCAAACAATAATAAAAATTATAGCAGCTGCCATTTACTGAATGCTTACGTATATACAAGTCTAGTGCCTTGTTCTATACATCTATGACCTCACTGAACCTTCACTGCGGGTACAGTAGGTATAACGGGCTCAATAAGTGAGTCAACAAGGCTTGGGGCCAAAATCCTACCATCGGTGAGTGGCAAAGCCAGGGTCAGCACCCACACCTGTCTGATTCCAGCTCTTGTACCTTAATCGCCCTGTTATACTGCTTCATCACACACCCTCTCTTACTTAAATCTACTTTACCCAGCCTACAGAAATACCCAAATCATTACCACCATTTTTTTAAGGAGGAAATTTTATCAGTTCTTTTTGTTACCACCTTATGTTTCTTCCTACTTCTCTTCGCTGTCAAGATTCTTGAAAGCATGGCCTCCACACTTCATCATTTCCCTCCCAGTCACTCCACTCCCCAGAACTGACTATCTGGTCTCTGTCTCCACCACTGTCTAGAAAGAGCTCCTCCCAGGGCATCAGTGGCAGCCTGCTGTGAGTACCTCAGCTATTCCCCATCCTAATGCTGACTCCTCTGAGCTCTTTCGGGCACTGCCCCGGGGCTTCCAAAAGCCACAGGTTCTTTATTCTCCTCCCATCTCTGACTTTCCAGTCTCCCTTCCTGGGAGCACTTCCTTAGCTTTTACTGTCAAGCCTTAGTGGCCCCTCAGGGTTCCACCCTCCTTTCTTTGATTCCAGAGTAGCTGACTCCAAATCATTCATTTCTAGACCTCACCTTGCCCTTAAGTTACAGACATACATTTCTAACTTCCTTTCTAGACCTGTGTCCCTGTAACCATCTTGAAGGACCCTCAACCCTGACATTAATTAAAGCTGAACGTATCGGTTCCCAACTTTGCAAACACGTGTGTGCAGTGGCTGCAGGGAGCTTCCCGCTGGGGCTCTGTCACTGATGTCTGTCGGCACTGGGTACAACTACAAAGAAACAGAAAGACTCCTGCTTCTGTGGAGCTCTTTTGAAAGGTGTAGCTGGCTGGGCAGGTAACGAAGACAATGTGATCAGTGGGTAATTCCAGATTGATGGCCACACCACTGACACTGCATCAATGCTCGTTTCATTGTACTGGTTCATCTTCCTTCTCAACCTGCCTGCTGCCACTTGGACTATATGTAGGTTCATTACGATGCCAAGTGGTAACATGGAAGTGTTTGATGCAACAGAAATACACAATCGAGGGCAGCTGAAGTCACACATGAAAGAAGCCATGATCAAGTGTGGTTTCCACTTGCTCTGTTTCTTCATATATCTTTATAGCATGATTTTAGCTTTGACAAATGACTGACGCTGGAGAAGCCATGGGTGAAGTCAATCTACACTACAGTGTACAGTTGTGGAGCCAGAGACTATTTACATCACCCTTAGAACCATAACCAGAGCAGTACAATTTTTCTTCTTTGAACAAAAAACATTTTTGCTGTATTTTTACCATATAAAGTATTCAAAAAACAAAACAAAAAAACCCCGAACTTTTCTTCACTTCCCCCCAACCTACCACACATCACCCCACGTTTGTAGCCACTATCAGAACAAACCTCTCCACCCAGGTGCCTAAGTGAGAACCATCAAAATCATCCTCATGACACCCTGTTCCTCTGTTACAGATGCAGGTAATCATCGTGTCCTATTCATCCTGCCTCTAGGGTCTTATAAATTAGGAGCCCTCACCTGTCCTCGAGCCACTGCCATTACCCTCACTGTTTCTCTTTAGGGCACAATAATTCTCTTTCCCTCCAAGTGCTCATCATTAAGTAATTTTTTTCAAAACCTGTACCTTCCAAAATTTCTATCATGTACCAAAAGTGCTTTCAGTTCCACCAGGGTTGTCCTAATATGCAAATTCATTCTACAGAAGAAAAATGCTGACTTTGGAATAAGAACAAATGCCTGAGCATGACCTTCCACCTTCACTGGCTCCTGTCCACCTTTCGTCTCCCACCTTCTACTGTCAAACACCACTGGCTGACCTGCACTAGGGTCACACACTGCTTGCTGCTCCCCAGAACCACTCTGCACTTGTTACCTCTACTCAGGCCTACTTTTCTGTCTGAAGCACTTTTCCTTCCTTGCTCCACTTGACAAGCCCCTATTCTTCAAGGCTCAGTCCAAATGTCCTGTTTTTTTCTATAGGAAAAAGCAGAGGTTAAAAGCCAGGGCTGTAGAGTCAGAGAGATGGGGTTCAAACCCCAGCTCTCCCATTATGAGCAGTGTGACTTGGGAGCAAATTCCTTAAGCCTTTGAAGCCTCAGTTTCCCATTTACAAAACAGGATGTAAGTAAACTGAGTAACTTGGAGGCTTAAAAATAAAGTATATAAATGTAAATAGATTAAACTTCCCAATCAAAGACAAAAAGTAGCTGAATGGATAAAACAACAAGACCCAACTATATGCTATCTATAAGACTCACTTCAGATCTAAGAACATGTAGAGCAAAGTGAAGGGAAGGAGATATTCCATGCAAACAGTAATCAAAAGAGAGTAGACAAAAAATATCAAACATGCCCAGCCGGGCATGGCTCAGCGGCTGAGTGTTGACCTAGGATCCAGGCGATCAGGGTTCAATTCCCGGTCAGAGCACATACCCAGGTTGCGGGCTCGATCCCCAGTTGGGGGTGTGCAGGAGGCAGCCAATCAATAACGACTCTCACATCATTGATATTTCTATTTCTCTCTCTCTCCCTCTCCTTTCCTCTCTCTGAGATAAATAAAGATATATTTAAATAAACAAACAACCTAGAGAAATGGATAAATTCCTAGAAACACACAACCTGCTATACCAAGATAATCAAGAATAGAGAGCCAACAGACCAGTAACATGTACCAGATTGAATCAGTAATCAAAAACCTCCTAACAACAACAAAAGCCCAGGACCAGATTGCTTCATTGGTAAATTCCACCAAACATCTAAAGAATTAATACCAATCCTTAAACTTCCAAAACATTAAAAAGGGAACACTTCTGAACTCATTTTATGAGGCCAACCTCACCCTGATACCAAAGCCAGACAAAAACACTACAAGATAACTACAGGCCAATAACCCTGATGAATATGGATGCAACCATCCTCAACAAAGCATTAGCAACCCAAATTTAATAGCAGAATACAAGGATCATATACCATGACCAAGTGGGATTTATCCCTGGGATACAAGGTTGGTTCAATAGGACAAATCAACCAATGAGACACACTACCTAACAGGTTGAAGGATAAAAATCACATGATCGTCTCCAAATCAAAGTCCTCAGGAGAGAGAGTATTACATACATGGGAGCCATTTAAGTGTTAACTAAAAAAGAGAATTAATGAATCAATCAATCTAGTCATGGTAAGGCAGATGATAAAGCATCATATCTCAGCCAACAATTTCACTGTTAAGGCTTTTCCATGATTGTTATCTAAAATGTAAATAACCCTGGGAAAAAGTTTTTGTGATTCACTCTTATCTTCCTGAGGTGAGAAAAAAATGAGAAATCTGAACCAAATGCAAAGGATACGCCATTCCTCTGATTCGTTTGATTTTTCCCGGATCAGTAAGCTGAATTGGCTTCAGGACCTTCCTTATGGGACATGAGAAAAACACTTCACCTCCTCCTCCAGGAGGCATTCCCCGTCGAACAACCTGCACACATGGTGAGAAAGAAGAAGTGATGACCCGGACACCCAACCCAGTAAGGTTTACACCAAGGGGCTCTTCCTTAGAAGGGAGACAGGTCTTTCACATTCAAGTTGGCAATCCCTTCAAGGTCAGCAGTACCTGATGTTAGCTCGAAGAGGGCACATGATGAGCAAGGACGCCCCATGGTGTGAGAAACAGCAGCAGACACAGAGCCAACGTGTCCCAAAGTCAAGTAGGTCTTCATCATTAAAATGAGAGGCCTAGTTCATGAGTTAATCCCATTTCTTAACCCTTTTCTCTCTTTTTCTTTTAAATTTTTTTTTTTTTTAATATATCTTTATTGATTTCAGAGAGAGGAAAGGAGACAGAACATCAATGATGAGAGAGTCATTGATCGGCTGCCTCCTGCATGGCCCCAACTGGGGATCGAGCCCGCAACCCGGGCATGTGCCCTGACCGGGAATCGAACCCCCACCGCCTGGATCCTAGGTCGACACTCAACTGCTGAGCCACACCAAACTGGGGCAACCCTTTTCTCCTATACAATTAACTGATCTATCAAAACCCTATATTACAGTCATGCACCACTTAATGACAGGGGATACGTTCTGAGAAATACGTTAGGTGATTTGGACCACTATGTGAACATCATAGAGTGTACTTACACAAACCTACATGGTATGGCTACTACATATGATATAGTGCATTGTTCCTAGGCTACAACACTGCACAGCATGTTACTGTCCTGAATACTGTAGGGAATTGCAACACAATGGTAAGTATTTGTACATCTAAGCATATCTAAACATACAAAAGGTACAGTAAAAATGCAATATAAATAAAAAATGGTATACTGGTATACCTTTATCAGCCACTTGCCCTGAAGCTTACAGAACTGGAAGTTGCTTTGTGTGAATCAGTGAGTGGTGAGCAAACATGAAGGTCTAGGACATTACTATGCACTACTATAGACTTTATAAACACTGTATACTTAGGCTATTTTAAAACATTCTTTTTTCAATAATAAATTAACCTTGGCTTACTATAACATTTTTAATTTATAAATTTTTAATTTCCAACTCTTTTGTAGTAACGGCTTAAAACACAGTGTATAGCTGTACAAAAGTATTTTCCTTTTTTTAAAAATATATCTTTATTGATTTCAGAGAGAGCAAAGGAGAGGGAGAGAGACAGAAACATCAGTGATGGGAGAGTTGTCATTGATCGGCTGCCTCCTACATGCCCCCGACTGGGGATCAAGCCCACAACCTAGGCATGTGCCCTGACGGGGAATCGAACCTCGATCGCCTGGATCCTAGGTCGATGCTCAACCGCTGAGCCATGCCCGGCCGGGCACCTTCTTTATATCCTTATTCTGTAAGCTTTTTTCTATTTTTAATTTTTTCTTCTTTTTACCTTTTTTGTTAAAAACTAAGACACAAAAACACACACATTAGCCTAGGCCTACACAAGATCAGGATCATCAATATCACTGTCTTTCAACTTCACATCTTGTCCCACTGGGTCTTTAGGGGCAATAACACAAATGGAGCTGTCATCTCATGATAACTATGTCTTCTGGAACACCTCCTGAAGGACCTGCTTGAGGCTCACCTGGAGGAAATATGTCCATGGTGGTTTTCTTGGTTCATTTCTTTTTTTTCATCACAGATTTGCTTGTAAGCGATAATGTACCATGAAGATTACTCTCTACTAATAAAAACCTTTCAGTGTTGGGGGGGCATGTTTTCAAACCTTTTAAGGAGCTTTTTGAGTTCTGCAAAAGCTTCTGCCAAACCCTTCACTGTGAATTTTCTTTCCCTCTGCAGTTTCCTTTTCTCTTGCCTCTTCTTCAGCTATGCACTCCTGTCCTGGTTCCAACAACTCATTAGTCAACTTCTCAGGAACCACCTCTAAGAGTTCCTCAGTGTAAGCCTCATCCACACTCAGGTTAAAATTGTTTGCCATCTCAACCACAGCCTTGTTGATTTTTACAACCTCCTCAGCCTTGAAAAATCCTTTCAAGTTATAGACAAACCTCTTGAGTGTCTTCTTCCAAATGCCATTCATACACTCCTTAGTGACATCACCCCACGCCCAAGCAAGGTTCTTGATGCAGTCATGGATATTGTAATCCTTCCAGAATTGCACCAGTGTCTTCTCAGTGTCTTCCTCAGTTGCAGCAATAGCCCAGGCAAAGGTCCTGCTCAGGTAGAAAGCCTTAAAGGCTACCATAACTCCTTGATCCATTGCTTCAATCAAAGAGGTGGTGTTTGGAGGAAGAAGCACCACTTTGATATTGAGATAAAGATCACCAATAAAAGGAGAATGTCCAGAAGCATGGTCACCAATAAGCAAAATCTTAAGAGGTACACAATTCTCCAAATAGTACTTCTCCATTTCACTGACAGTAATTGAAGAATGCATCCTGGAAAAGCAGCTGGGTCATCCATGACTTCTTGCTGATCTTGTAGTACACTGGCAGTGTGTGCTTGCTGATATGCCTAAAGGCCTTTGGGTTCTCACTGTGCCAGCTCACAAAAGGTTTCAGTTTTTAGCCTGAAACATTGCCCCCAAGCCAGACTGTCCTGAAAAGCCTTAAAATTTGGCATTAACTTGGCCTCCTTATAGATGAACATCCTTTCAGGGACCTCTTTCCAGAATAGGGAGGTTTCATCCACACTGAGTATTTGTACTGGCACATAATTTTCCTCCACAATCAGCTTATCTAGAGTGTCCCAAAATTCTTCAGCTCCAGTGACACAAATGGAGTTATGAGAAGATTAATACATGTAGGATGTTTACCACAAAGAAATTACAATATAGCATCAGCACTCATAGACTCACCACTCAATTTCACATTATGTGATGAATAACCATTCTTAAGTCGTGTAAGCCACCCAGTTAGCAGTAAATTCAACATCATAATGGAGTTCAGCCTCTTCTTTCAACATCACAAACAAACATTTTGCTCTGGTCATGATTTTCATAGTGCTGAGAGGGATATGCTTCTGTGTCTGGTCTTCAATCTAGGTCTTAAGTTTCTCCACGTCCGATATAGGCCCTTCTCGAATTTTTGTTAGTCTCATTGCCTTTAATGAAGCGAACCCTTGAATAGCTTCCATCACTTTGTTTTTGTTCGTCAAGATCATAGTTATGGTGGAATATGACATGCCTGACTGGTGAGCTATAACCATCACTGATTTTCAACCTTTGTAGACCTTAATCACTTTTTAATTTTGTTTCCAGGTCAATCACTCAACGTGACTTCTTAGCTGGCAACGTTAACAGTGGATTTTGTATATTTAGGGGCCATGATGAACAAAACAACACAAGATTCAATCAAGCACAAGAGAAAATGATGCAATTGAGAGAGTGGTAAACGTGATGTTTTATAGCTAACTTTTCTTTTATAAGTAGAAAGAGTACACTGTAAAATATGATAAAAAACATAGTAAATACATAAACTATAACACATTTACCATCAGTATCAAGTAATACGTACTGCACATAATTTGTATGTTATACTTTTATATGACTGGCAGAGCAGTGGGTTCATTTACACCAGCCTCACCATAAATATGTGAGTAATGTGTTGTGCTATGATGTTACAGTTACATCACTGGGTGATAAGAATTTTTTAGCTCCATTATCGAATTGGGCCAACAATATATATGCAGTCTGTCTTTGACCAAAATGTCATTATGTGACGCATGACTGTATTAAAAATGAAGTCATTTCCCGTTTAAAAAGTAGAGACGCTAACCAGCTTATGATATCCAGTCATCACACTAACTTGATGCAATTCCTTTCAATAGCAAATAATCAAATGTTTACATTACTTCTACTAGGTTTTGAATATACTGAAAATTTTCAGGGGCATCCAAGTTGGAAGGCGCTGAAAATAAGTTATATCTAGATGATCGAGATTAGATTAGAGAAGCATTATGGCTAGAATCCTGGCCACACTACTTATTAGCTGAGCGACACAAATGCAGTTGCTATGAGGAGTAAAGAATTAATACATGTAGAATGTTTACCACAAAAAATTTGCAATATAACTGTTGGCTACTATTGTCATTATTAAAGGGTCCCTTTCAGCTCAAAATCTGTCAGGTTTGGTTCATGCCCTGTGGGTCTTCTCATAAATGGTGGCTTTAAATGTCACATTCACACACACACACACACACACACACACACACACACACACACACAATCATACAGCTCTTCCAATGAGTTGGTAAGGAAATGTTTTACACAATATGTACAGGCAACAATTCATACATTCTTACCTTTAGCTCAAGTGATTCACCATCAATTCCAAATTGTTTCAAAAGAGGGAGAGCTGTTGTCCTAAGAACATCAACCTGTAGAATTATTTCAGAATTAAAAAAAAAAGGTTTCATTAAACCTTGAGCAGATGGAAAGAAGATCCATGAAGCAGGTGAAGGCATAGCAACCAGGTAGATGTGCAGTCTGGTAAAGACAAAAAATGCTAGCTTACAATGCAGGGCATGGGACGACTCTTCTCCTGAGTAAACTGAGATTTTATAAGCCACTAGCTCCTCTGAGCCCCTTTCCTCATTTACAACATGGAGACTTACACCTACCTTGCAAGTCATTATCATGAACTTTTTGTGATAATGCAAAAGTTCATGACTTTTTGCATTATCACATGCAAAAAGCATGAGAAACTTCCAGGCTCATACAGAGAACACATGGGGAACTGCTCATTCGTTTAGGTACAAACACTATGGAAAAAACACCAAAAATTTTTTAATTAATCTTTTCCCAACACAGTTGTTTAATCTTTAAAGCTTGTGGCACTCCCAAGCCAAAGCAAACCAAAAACATTATTCTACAGCTACTTAAGAATCTTGCTGGTGCCCACCACACAGGCAGAGAAAGGGGACGTGGTTGTTCTACAAGAAAGTGAAGGCAGTGGGGGAATGACTACCTCAAGCTACCTGAAGCAGCACAAACCCACAACTGCACAGTCAATGGCAAGGTTGTGACAAGTATGACTGCTATCTCCTCCCTATTCTAACTCATAGGAGGCCTAGGGTCCTTTCCTGCTCATTTGTGGGAGTATAAAGATGACATTCAAATTACATTGATCTAACAAGTCCGTGAATCCTGCCTTAACTGCAACATGGGAAAGAAAATCACACCCTTCCTTGTTCCCAGTGGGAAAAGAGCCATTCCTCAGCACTGTGGGAGCTGACCCTATCGGGAGGAAGTGAAGACAGGCAAATAGAGCAGAAGGTGTGGGGAAAGCGCTGGTCCTGGTTCAGCTCTGCCTCTAGTGAACTGCATGGCCTCAGACAAGGAAATCCCAACTGTCTGAATTTCCTTGTCTCTAAGGCAAGGGTTCTCAGCCTATTTGTCTTCAAGGTGCTACCCACTCCAACATGCTAAGATTCAACAGAGTGATACTCCAGTAAGACTTTATAGCAGAGAACAGGCCCCACCTAAATATTCTGCTATCACAAAATTAACCTGAGGTAGAAATGACCTATGAAGCCGAGGAACATGTTGAGAATGGACCAGGTGGCACAGAAGCGGTTACTAGAAAAACCCACTGAAGATTGCCTAATTTCAACCTAAATATTAAAGTCAAACACACTCAAATACTTCAAATACACATTTGGGATTGCCAGCACCAAGGAGAATTCAGTCTAGGCTAGCATTAATAGCAGCTGGGGAGAAGACCAAGCCAGATTCTGGAAAAACCAGGGGATACAGGATGTGGGTTACTCTGCCCACATGACTCTCTGGAACTCGGCAGCCACCAGCTCTCCTGGGGACATGAAAGGCAAGAAAACAGAACAGCTCTTCTGGCTCATCCTACCTGTACCTGGAGTCATACAGGATGAAGTCAGATTTACTCTGAGGGTTAGCCAGAAGCCCAAGTATAACTCTAGGTGTGGTCCTGTCTCCTAAATCACTCTCCATCTGACACAAAGGGCAGGTGACTCTGTGTGGTGGAAGGAGGGCTGGAAGAGCACATGTGGGCTTGAATCCCACTCTGCCTCTTACTAGCTGTGAGACCTACGCTTCCCTATCTCCCCAGGGCCTCGGCTTCCTGCTGTGTATAATGAGGGGCTGGACTGGACATGGTCCAGTCTCCTCTGGCTCTGCACAGTAGTTTCGGGGGGGTGGGGGGTGTGCTCTGCAAGTTCTACTTAAGGGAAACTGAGCAGTCACTCTGTAATTAGGAAGAGAACACAGAAGTTCGACCTGAGTCAGGGCAAAGCTGTTAGTCATCCTGACAAGTTCAGTCAATCAATCAACAGGTAAAAATGTCATCGGGTCCATGTCAAATAGAAGAGGGAAGAAACTGCTCTCGGTTACCTTGTCTGAAACAGTGACAAGAACACCTACCTCACAGGGTTTATACAAGAATTAAATAAATAAGGATATATTTTATCTATTAGTACAGTGCCCAGTGCACAGCAGACTTGAATGTACTTCATTCCCCTTCCAGGACGGTAATGGAAAAGAATGGAATCTTCACTCACCACATGACGAGGATGCTGGCACCAGTAAATACCTATTGCGGGTTCTGGTGCCAAATCACTGAGCTTCAGAGGAAACATCCTGGAACTCTGCTTCTCCTCAACATTTCTCCCCCATCTTCTATCCTTTTGCCTCTGAAGGGGGAAAACATCCCTACCCACTTATAGAGCTCATCCCACCACTTCTGCTTTCGATGCTCATCCCCTCTGGCCTTCTGCAGGAGTTGCCCTTGTAAAATCCCCCAGCCCTTTCATTCTTTCCTTCTATGTTACAGCATCTCCTCAGCCTCTCATTTAAAAAACTATTTCCCCAGGAATAGTTCCCTCAGTTCCCCAGGAATCATCCTATCTAACCTTCTGGATCTCCTACTTGCCAGAGTTCTCTTTCCTGCTCATTACTCAGCCTGTGACTGTCCTTACGCTCCAACGACACTGCTCTCTCAAAGGTCAATGAAACTTCTCATTGCTGAATCTCCCTACCCAGGCCTCAATCATCTCCTGCAAAGACAAATTCCCTGGGTCCTTCCCTGGCTTCTCCAAACACTTCTACTTCCACAGTCGCCGTCTGCAGCTCCTCTTCCCTCCTCACACCTTAAACATTCATTTCCTCCTCTTCTATTCTTGCCACACTGTAGGATTAACTCAGCCAGAAAGCTGCCAGTGTCCAACTTCAGGACTAGTCCATCTTGTTCTCCAAGGGATTTGACTATCAGTAGGTAAGATGACGATGACCTATCTCTGAGGCTCCAGACAGTAATTTCCAGCTGCCAACTGTACAACTGCATGTGGATATCCTCCCAAAATATCAAAATCAAACACATCACCCATCATCCAACCACAAATTTCCTCTTCCCTGTGTCAAACTCTTTCTGATCACTATCCTTCAAGTCAACCAGGACAGAAATTGTGGAGCTATTTTATGAACACTTTCTCCTATCCCATCTCCAATTAACTGTCAAATTATGAAGTCTCCCCTCCACTGTCCTTTATATCTGTCCCTTCCTTTCTTGTTCCACCTCCACTATGTTCAAACTAATTGACACCCCTCCGATGCATCCTGCTCTCAGTCTCCACAGTTCTCTTCCTAAAAACCAGACAGATTCTGTGGTTTCCCTTCCTCTGGAAGACCCTCCCCAACCCTCAGCACTTTGCCTGTAATTCTATCAGAGCCCTGAAGACCTCAGCCTTGTTGTCTCCCTAGATGTGTTCACAGCTGTCCACCCCATGAAAACAAGTTCCCTAAGGGCAGAACTCATCATATTCATCCTGGTGCAGGGAGTAAATGTGGACATGAACTGATGAGGAAACCACATATTAAAGAGAAAGCTCAAAATGAAGAAGCCACAAGTTGAAGAAATCACTCTTTGTCCAAGATTAGGTATATTTATTTTATCGTGGGTTGGAGCCAAGTACTACCCAAGGTCATTTTAGTCTTGCAGGGAGCAAAAGCAGACAGTCCTGTAGCATATGAAAACAGATTTCTTTTATAATGCTCTGCATTAAAGAGTTAAGTGCTATTTCTGGGGAATTCATCAACTAATCTGTGACTGCTAATATGTAAAACTTTTAAAAATATTGCCAGTGATAACAGCTTTTAAGATCATTAGCAATTATAGAAAAGAATACAAAACTGGGACACACAGTGCCAAGGTCTCCCATATACTTCGGGAACATTCCCATTACTCAAGCAACCTTCCTCACCTTCCACCTAAAAGTGCAGAGGCCTCCTCTTGGGAGCACTTTCAACTGAAGGTCTCACTTCCTAGAATCTTCCAGAAAAATGCAGGAAGAAGGCAATCCTTTGAAATTAGTTTAAAATTCTACACAGTTTATTCAACATTCCTTTACAGCTAAGAATTTCAGACCATAGACTGTACTCAGATTCTAGGAAAAGAGTTTATTAACCAAGTTCCCAAGAATTGGGAAATAAGTCTTTTACTGCCTAAGAACACATTAACCAGGTTTATACTCTACTAAGTGTATAGGTGAATACCAGCAGTCTCCACCGTGTGGCTCGCTGAACCACCTAACTGGTCTTCCCTGGTTAGAAAGGTTAGATACTTCACATTCTGCCTTGGAAGCCGCCCCTTCAATGGTTTGTTGTTGTAGTTTTTTTCAGGTTAAAAAAAATTTATTTATTTTTTTCAATTATATTTTACATTCAACATTATTTTGTATTGGTTTCAAGTGTACGGCACAGTGGTTGGACAATCACATACTTTACAAAGTGTTCCCCCTGATATGTCCATGACCCAACTGGCACCATACATAGTTATTACAATATTACTGACCACTCATTGGTCTTGGTTCCATGTCTGTGGAGGTGAAGGTAAGAATTCTCAGTCAGAACTTCACATTATGACCATAGGAGTTAAGATATTCTCTCTGGACAACAAAGCATCCAAAGATGAGGATGTTTTCCTCTGTATGAGAGGTCTAAGGCAGGTCTGGACAGTACTGTTCTAATCTCTCTCTCTCTCTCTCTCTCTCTCTCTCACACACACACACACACACACCCCAAAACCCATCCTAGACTGGCACTAAGACAGCTGTGGTGGCCACAATAAAAATTCCACCCATATATTAAACTATCCTCCCTATACATGTAGAAAAATTACCCTCAAACTATCAAAGCTCATATATATGGTTCCTGTCCCTATGTTCTTTTTCTAAATTTGCAAACTCTTCTCAGAAGAAGAATGTCCTAAAGTTTGAATAAGTCAAGATTATGCTGCAAAAATGCCAAGGAGATATTATTTTCTGTCTAAAATTTTGGTCTGCGCTTTCCAGCCTCAGCTATCACATGACCTTATGAAAGTTCCACACTCATACACTTCAGCTAACAGAGCCATATTTCATGTCAACCGTGATGAGACTGCAAGCATCTGTTCTGAAGGTTCTTAGACACGACAATGCAAGGCACCTTGATGAATGGTAACAATCGTCACTGAATTTGATCGATTACGAATCCTGGTTCATCTGCATCCTGGAGTGATTAATCTCTACATCTCAAGGTAAATAACAAAACAAACACACTCAACAATAAACCTGTGCTTTATCAGGAACCTATTTCTCAAAAGTTGGGTTGTAACAAAAGACAAAACAAAAATCACACCACGGTTTGGTGTCACTACTCACCGAAGGGTCAACCTGGTCATTGGTCACTCCTCGCAGAACTATTCTTAAAGGGTGCTTCATAAATGGAGCCAGGCAAAGGAGACTCTCCAGGTAATAGCCAATGCCGCGAAGGACACTGCAGTCATGCTCCACGGATCCACCATACAGGAGGCCAGGTTGGTAATATAAAGTCGTTCCTTACACAAGAGGAAAGAGAGCCACATTCAGCAGGAAAAACAACAGTGTTACAAAAGCAACAAAGGCAGTGAAGTCCCAAAGGAAAAGTCTGACACAAGCATCCAAGAGAGTTCAAAATACCATTCCTAAGAGCCCACACTCAGTCCAAAAACTGACTCATTACTGTCAAGCCCCAGTAATAATAATAAACGGTGAGTGTTATTTAATAAACAGTAATAAATTAATCCTCTCCCTAAGCCATCTGAATTGCCAAAGTCATGGCAGGACACAGAGAAAAAAATCCTATCAGGCATCTGAGTCTCCCAAGGATGGTGCTGAAGAAGGGGTTCACAAACGATGCTGTGAAACCATCACACAAGCAATCAGCCTCTTCGAGGCCCTTGAAATGAGATTTTCCAAATACCACACTTAACAAGATGCCTAGAAGAGGCAAGTACTTCATGGCAATTCCACTGATAGTATCTATTATAATAGTAACTAGTGAAAATATCTAAATTTACTTAATAGCTTTATTAGAAAGTTTTTTTATCTTTATTCACTTTTCACATATTCATATTTATCCAAAAAGTTTCTTACTAGATTAACATATTGGAGAAAAAACAAAGTAAGGTACTCTGCATGATCTGGGGGATATAAATGGATGAACAAGGTCTTTTTGCTGCTCAAATGATTTGCAATGTCTTCTGGCACAATTTACCAATAAACAAATTTAGCAACAGAGGAAGGGAATATGTTCAGTCATTCAAAAGAAAAGCAGTTCTTGGAAATTTCATAGAATAAATTTAGGTTTTACTATATTAAAAACCAAAATCCCCAAATCACAATCAGAATCAATCAAAATCAGAACCATATCCCTCCCACACTTCTCAAAGGGAAAGATTTTACATCAGTTATTCTAAACACTGCACAAAAGTCACAAAACCAATCCTGTAGGTCAAAAAGCCATAAAAAAAGCTATATAACCACTAAACGCTGCAAATCTGCTTAGGTCTGAGAATTAACCAAATCAGAAATTGACCAGATCATCGGAATGAAGTATTCTATCCTGGGGGCGGGGAACGACACTTCTGTGTTGGGACAGGAGAGATATGAGGTAGAAGCAGGATCGTGTAAATGTCTACTTCTTAACCTAAGCTCCAGGTGTGACTAGAACAGAATTACCTGCCCTCTGAATCACCAATATAAACTGCTGAAAAAAATCTCCAGCAATTTCAAAGTAAACAAGCCAAAGATAATGGAATCATAGCTTGCAAAGGGCATCTGAAAGGTATGGCTGAATGCAGCTACAGATCCATAAGTTTCATGTGTTGCCACTTATGAATCCAAGCTTGTCTTCTTTCTTAAAGAATCAACATATGGGCCCTAGCTGGTATGACTCACTCGGTTGGAGTGTCCCCCCATACACCGAAGGGTCATAGGTTCAATTCCTGGTTAGGACACAAACCTGTGTTTTGGGTTCAGTCTCCAGTTGGGGCATGTACAAGAGGCAACCAATCCATGTTTCTCTCTCTCTCCCTTCCTCTCTAAAATCAATAAACATATCCTCTAGTGAGGATTAAAAACAAAGAGTCAACATATGGAAAAGTTCAGAGTTTCTTCTGTTGAGCACATATGAAAAGGTACATAGTTCATTCACGGAGCCTGCCAAAAGACGTTTGCCTGGTCTCCTATACAACGTAAATAAAAGTGTTTCTAATAGCAAAACAACAAAAAAGCTAGAAACAACCAAAGGTTTATCAGTAGGGAGCAGTTAAACACATTATCATGCATCCATACAACAGACTATTTTATTAGGCCCAGTGAAATAAATGAGATTAACCTGTGACATCTGTGCTAGTGAAGAAAAAAGCTGGCTGTAGAACACACAAAGAGCACAACCCTGTTGATGGTCTAAGACAGCAATTTTCAACCTTTTCCATCTCATGGCACACATAAACTATTACTAAAATTCTGAGGCACACTGAAAAATATATTAAAGTTTTGCTGATCTGACAAAAAAAAAAAAGGTATAACTTTGATTCATTCACACCAGACAGCTATTGTATTGGCTGTTGTCATTTTTCTATCTGACCATCTAAGGGAAAAGAGGTCAGTGCCCTGACTAAATGGTCAAGTATTGCATGTTCTAAAAATTCTTGCAGCACACTGGTTGAAAATCACTCGTCTAAGACACAGAAGTGCCCATGTAAGCAAATGCTTGCAGAGGAGATAAGGGCACCCCCCCAAGCTGTGGCCATGGCTGCAGCTGGGGAGGGAATGGAACAGGAAATAGGTGAAGGGACCTTTATGATTTCTGTATTTACTTATTTAAATTTCTTTTCAAAGACAAAACAAAAATAAAAAATTCAGCACATATAACTACCTCATAGAGTGTTGTTAAGGTTTCATTGTGACAATATAAGTGAATGGACTTTGAAAAGTTGTATGCAAATGTTAGGCATAAAATATTTTACTGTTAAAAAAGAGGAGAAGCTTGTTTGTTGATCTGAAATTTTCAGTGTTCTAACTTCCTTAAATCAAGTTTATGTCCCTTAAATTGGCAGAGTTCACACATATCTCTAAACAATTGTTACCATAGACAGGAAACTGGATTTTCCCATCTGAATAGGATATTTATACCATCAAAAGGAGTGAGAAACAGAAGAATGTTTAAGTAGTGCATATGTGGGTGCTTTCCAGAATGGGAAGAAAAGGAGCTTACCTGTTTGGTTTATTTCAATTCGAGAACCGTTTGTTATTTTGTCCAACAGCCTTATGAAGCTGGCTTCAAAATCTGTGGGAAAAAGAGAAAACAGACAGGCCTCATGTTAAGTCACCCTTTCCAGACAAAACGTCCCATTCAAGTACTGCCATGGAGGGTAGGTTACTTCCTGCATCACAGCTGGGCTTTTCTCAGGACCTGGGTGGGATCACTGGTTGAGGAACCTGAAGCAGTTGAAAAGCACTGACTAGCATATATATGTTTAGTAGAACTAACAGAAAGAGTTCAGCTTTCATATTCCACAAAAAATAGAAACTCTACCAGCAATCCAATGGGATATTAATTTTAGCAGCATAACAACCATAAGACACATTCTTCTCACCTAGGAGCACATGCCAAATAAGGAGAAATAGCCATAAGAAGGGAAGAGTTTTAAAGTCAAATTCTTACTTGTTACAGAATACCTGAGAGGGCAGATTAAATCAAGGTCACTGTCTCTCCCAGTCAACAAAGTGTCCCTTCTTCCTTCCTCTACCATCTTACTGATCTGGAGCTATCTAACAAGTTCAGTTTTTAATTTCATTATAAAGGTGCTTGATATACAGTACCACTGCCACCTTTTTTTTAAATGCATGAGAAGACTGAAAGGAAAAACACCAAATGTTAATAAATGGGTATCTCTTCAGGGTAGGACTTTATACAAATTTAAGTTTCTTGTTTAAATTTTAACATTCAAATTGACTTCAATTCCTTTTAAGAACAGATTATCTAAAATATAGAAGCTGGTCATTCTTTTAAAAAGGGAGAAGGGCAGGAACTGATTTTAAATGTGAAATATGGAAGGATGTAGAGTGAAAACTCAGGAGAATATGTTTACACACACACACACACACACACACACACACACACACCTTTAGCTTCGACCTCCTGCCCATGAACAAGAAGTCCAACTTTTCTGCACTGAAGGCATTGTGACTGTCTGACACCTTCATGCAGCTCCCACTCCTATAAAGAACTAGTAGAGTTTGGGAGCACAGACCCCAGAAGTCACCTGAACTCAATCCCAGAGAGTCAGCAAATCAACTAAGCAATTCCCACCCGTTCTGCTACTTAACATTGTTCCATAACTCCTGTCATAGTAGATTCTGCAATCTGTACAAAGACCACTGAGCTAAAATCAGAGAAACTCCTATTTCTCTTGAAACAAGTAATAATGGCCAATAACAGCAGCTGTATTATTAATGCTTACCTTACAGCCAGCCATACATTCTCTCATTTAATCCTCAAAACCCCAAGGCAGGAGATGCCATTCCCATTTTATAGAAGGCTTAAGCTGAAGAATGCCTACTAGCTTGTGACTGGCAAGGGGCAGAGCCAGGAGCTGAGCCCAAGTTCATTCTTCTCCAAAGTTGAGGTTCTTAAGCACACCATGACTCTAGTTTACCTAACTCAGTTTAATCCCCTGGAGCCAACCTTTTCCTCTAGAAAATCAGGGCACCTTTTCAACTGCAAGCAGTGACCAACTGAGGGATCCTGCAGCCACCATTTATTTTTAATGAAATTAGAACAGAATAAACGATCAGAGTAACTGTACATAGTGAAGGTACTGTTTGTGAAACTTTACCATACATATATATATTTGTATGTGTATTAGGTTGTGGTATAAGTAGCATCACAAATTTTGAAAATAACTCAACTACAAAAGTTAACAAGAAAAATTAACTAGAAATTATTTCCATGGTCTTTTTATACAGAATAATTATTTTTTTTTAAATCAAGCATGATCTATATGTCATAATACCACTTTCTACTTATGTTTATAGAAAACACAGGGTACTTGGCATAAAAAAGAAAAACCCTTGATTTGCTCAAGCTTCCAAGGTCCCTAAATAGGAGAAAGGAGCAAGCATTTATGAATGAAGTCCTATAGTGAACTTCAAAGCTTTTACAGATTAGGAAAGAAAAAAAAAAGCATGACTTTAGAAAAAAATTCTTTTTTCTTTTCTTTTCTTTTTTTGGCAATCCACAGGAGCTCTTAAGCATGAACACAGTATAAAATGTCCATTAGAGAACACGAATAGAAACAGAATGGGCACATAAGGAGATCTCCAGGCAAGACTATGCTCTGGTCAAAGCAATAAGTGTTTAGGAAGTAATGCTTCAAAGAACCAAACACAGAGCTAGTTCCAGAATCCTAGCAACAGTGAAGATATAGCTCCATCACCTGGTACAAAGAAGATCTCAAGTTCACCTAATAACAGTAAGACTGAAGTTCCCCAAGCTTCATTAAGAAAAGATGTGTAGAACTCCTTGCCCCTTCACTCCCCACAACCCCTCTGTGACTCCTCCTCTTCAGGGCTGCTCCTGGGGGTACAAAATTTCAGATATCTAAAAACATTAGAGGAGAGTTCCAAAAAATAAGCACAAGTTTACTACATTGTTTAAGAACACATAATTAGGTTATAAAGTTATGAAGACAATTAACATGAACGCCATAATGGTCAGGAAAGTGGCCACCACTGGGGGTATGGAAGGAGTTGTAAATGAAAAAGGCAGCAGAGGTGCAGGCAATGTTCTATTTCTTGATCTGGATGGGGTCACGCAGGTGTTCACTTTATAAACCTTTAAGTACTACTTTCATGTCTTATGAATTTCTCATGTTATTATATTTCACATTTTAGTTTGTTTTTTTTTTAATCCTCACCAAGGATATTTTTTCCATTGCTTTTCAGAGAGAGTGAAAGGGAGAGAGAGAAACATCAATGTGAGAGAGACACATCAATTGGTTGCCTCCCACATGCACCCCAACCGAGGCCTGGGATCAAGCCTGCAACTGAGGTATGTGCCCTTGGCAAGAATCGAACCCAGGACCCTTCAGTCTGAGGGACAACGCTCTAACCACTAAGCAAAACTGGCCAGGGCTATATTTCACATTTTAAACAATTTGTACTGTTAGAACCTTCAATCTTAGGATTCCTTAGATACCAACTCTAATGTCTAATATCCCCCCCTCCTTAATCCCCTAAGGAAGTGAGGTCATTTCTTTAAAGGGGCTGGTGACTCCTATAAGACCGTGGCAGTCATCAGCCTGACCCATTCCTCACTAAGAAAAGCAGAACCACATGTCAAAGAAAGGGAGCAAAGGAAAGAATACAATCTAGAGACCTGTACTTTAAAAACAAGGAAAAAAATCTCAATATATTACAGCTTTAATTTAAAAGTATTGTAACAACTTAAATATCTAGAAATACTAGCCTGCTTAAATAAATTACGATACATCTATATATCAGAACACTTTGCAGCCTTAAAATTAATGAGGGTTTTTTATATACTGATGTGAATCATCTCCATGGTATATTGAGTGGGGGAAAATGTAAGATACAGATGGTCATTTGTGTGAAAAAGGAAAGAGTGTATATGTATTTGTTGATTAATAAAAAAAAAAGAAGAAACCCTGAAAAGAAACACAACAAACCAGTAACATTAGTTGGTTCACAGGGAAGGAAGATTGGGAAACAGACAGACAGAGACAGACTATATAAACCCTTTTGTTCCCTTTGAATTTCATGCCATGTGTATGTGTTTTTAAAAATACAGTACATAAGCCCTAGCCAAGTAGCTCAGTTGGTTAAGAGTGTTGTCTGATACACCGAGGTTTTAGGTTGATCCCAGGTCAGGGCACATACAAGAATCAACCAATAAATGCACAAATAAGTGGAACAACAAATTGATGTTTCTCTTCTTCTCTCTTTCTAAAAATCAGTAAGTAAATTTAAACATTTTAAATACATAAAATTTAAATTAAAGATACAAATAAAGGTACTATAACACAATTTAAAGAGCCAACAAAATTGCTCTCATTAAAGTCTAGAAAAGTCCTAGCTAGTGTGGCTCAGGTGGTTGGAGCATTGTCCCATTCACAAAAAGGTTTCGGGTTCGATTCCCACTCAGGACACAGTCCTAGGTTGTGGGTTCAGTCCCCGGTTGGGGCATGTATGGGATGCAACCAATCAATGTTTCTCTCTCACATCGATGTTCTTCTCTCTCTTTCTCACTCTAAAAAAAAAAAAAAAACCAGTAAAAATATCCTCAGACCCTAGCCGGTTTGGCTCAGTGGTTACAGTGTCGGCCTGTGGACCGAAGGGTCTCAGGTTCGATTCCCAGTCAAGGGCACATACTTTGGTTGCAGGTTCAATCCCTAAGCCTGGTCAGGGCTCCTGCAGGAGGCAACCACTCAATGTGTCTCTCTCACACTGATGTTTCTCTCTCTCCCCCTCCCTTCCATTCTCTCTAAAAATCAATGGAAAAAAAATATCCTTGGGTAAGAATTGAAAAAAGGAAAAACAGCCCAGTAGGCATGGTTCAGTGGTTGGACATCAACCTATGAACCAGGAGGTCACAGTTCTATTTCCAGTCAGGGCACATGCCTGGGCTGCAGGCTTGATCCCCAATAGGGGGAGTACTGGAGGCAGCCGATCAATGATTCTCTCATCATTGATGTTTCTATCTCCCTCTCTCTCTCTCTCCCTTCCTGAACTCTCTGAAATCAATTTAAAAAATATATTTTAAAAATTTTTTAAAAAAAGAAAAACATATCCTCAGGTGAGGGTTAAAAAAAAGTCTATAAAAGATCTTTATAATACTATGCAGCCATTAAAGATATTTTTTAAAAATTATGTAATTACATAAGGAAATGCTCATATTATACTAAGGAAAACAATTAAAAAGTAATATATAAAATGTTATTTCAATTTATTTAGAGAAGTTAACTAAAAGATGAGAAAACAAACTATATATTAACATGTGAAATTATGAATCATTATTTTCCTCATTGAATCAAAAAGGTAGAAATTACAAACACATACCCAATTCTCAGAATAAATTAAAAGATGACAACTCACTTGGAAATAATGTACATATAAAATATGTACATATTTTGTGTATAATATGTAATTACACATAATGAGATCAACAACAGATTATATTTTAACTTAAAGAAATACATCTTTCTTAAATTACGACCAAGTCAAGAAAAAAAGTGCAGAACATAAAATCTTAAACAAAAATATCAA